TTGTAATAATAATAATAATGAAAATAATAATTACCAGCAATAACTTTTGAAGAAAAATTTATTATCAGCAATACTTTAAAAAAAAATACCAGCACTACAAACAGCTATATATTCTTTGAAAAAATATGACTAGCTATAGATTTCTTCAAGGAAATATATTCCCAGAAATAGATTTTTGAAGAAAAACATATTACCAATAATTAAAATTTTGTCGGCATTAAATAACCCATTGAGGTTGATATGCCGTAAAACAAACCAAAGTAAATCAATATATACTGAAAAATAGATAGATAGATAGATAGATAGATAGATAGATAGACAGAAAATATTAACAGCAATAAAAATCTTGTCGGCATTAAATAACACATTGATATTGATAGGCCCTTAAAACAAACCAAATCAAATCAATATATACTGAAATAGATAGATAGATAGATAGATAGATAGATATGATGAATAAACTGAGATAGATAGATAGATAGATAGATAGATAGAGATAAAAAATATTGCCAGTAATAAAAATCAATATATACTGAGATAGATAGATAGATAGATAGATAGATAGATAGATGAAAAATATTACCAGCAATAAAAATCGTGTCGACATTAAATAACCCACTAATATTGACATACCGTAAAACAAAACAAACCAAATCAATATATACTGAGATAGATAGATAGATAGATAGATAGATAGATAGATAGATAGATAGATAGATACTATTACCAGCAATAAAAATCTTGTCGGTATTAAATAACCCATTGAGGTGTTGATATACCGTAAAACAAACCAAACCATACATTTGTATCCATATATTCGAAGAACTGCCAAATTTCTCCCTTAGTTCGAGCTGAGAAGAACCCTATTTTTAGACGAATTGACTTACAGCCCTATCACCTTGAAACATCGAGCCTGGTCAGTAACTAAATGTGTAATCGCTTGGGAAAACCAGGTGGGTAAGGCTTGGACGTACAGGTGATGTAATGAATAATGGCTCGAAATTTGAAATCGGAGAGCCGAGATCGAATCCCAGTCAGGTTCATTATATTCTCTTCCATGAGAAAGGTATGAATCTACCTCTCCCCCCACTAGCTATAGGTTAATTAGATGAACTTGTATCAGTAAAAATCATTATTATATCCCCACAAAATTCTTATAATCCCCAAAATATTTTTTGGTGTATTTTATGTTTTATGAACAAAACCAACGAGACTGTCATATTTTCTCATGTAAATTGCTTGCTTTCTTTTTTACGGTTTATCGACCTTTTGCAGGGTTAAATAACCTGTGAAGGTCTCGTTGGTTTTGTTCATAAGATATAAAATATACCAGGAAATTTGTATAGCTATGAAATAGGAAGGTTTCGTATTGTTTCTTATCATCGATTATCAATAAGCTGTCATAGGTAAGTCATTTTCGTTTATCGTCTACATTCGTATAAAGAAAATTTACTCTGAGTCAGTTATAATCAAATTATGTTTGAAAGACAAATTTGTCTGCTTTCCCCAGAGACAAGGTGGAACGAATTATTTAATATTTGCAACATTTTGTGAATCGAAATTTCGTGTTATTAGTGTTGATCTTATTTTGGGGCCTGTTGAAAAATGAGTCAATTTTGATGGTAATTGATTCGTCAGGGAATTTGGGTTTCATCTTTTTTCTTTCTGAGAAAAAAAAATCATTTGAATTTCATCTGAAATAAACGGTCTGTGCTTCCACGAGAAAAATAAAATAAAATAAAAATCCAATGGTTTTACTTTAAAGCAAATAACAATGGAAGTATATAAATAAAACTGTCGAAAAGCTGAAGTATATGCTCACAAAGCCTCATATATTATACAGGCTACAGCAGAAATACCTCCCACATATAGCCCCAAATAATGGAATGGCGATTTACTTGATTGTCCACTGAGTCAGGTTGTGACACAAGGTCGGTTTTTAACGTGAGTAGCCGAGTGTTTCCACACGCGCCACTGATTATATCTAGTCCAAGCTCGTCATAGCTTGTTCAAACTGGTCAGAACTTGTCTAAACTAGTCATAGCTGATCTTAGCTGGTTACAGCTAGTCCAAGCTGGTCAGAGTTTGTCTAAGCTAGTTATGTCTGGTCTTAGCTGTTCATAGCTTGTCCAAGCTGGTCAGAGTTTGTCTAAGCTAGTCTCAGCTGGTCATAGCTTGTCCAAGCTGGTCAGAGTTTGTCTAAGCTAGTCATAGCTCGTCCTAGCAGGTCATGGCTTGTCTAAACTGGTCATAGCTGGTCGTAGCTCGTCATAGCTTGTTCAAGTTGGTCAGAACTCGTCTAAGCTAGTCATAGCTGGTCATAGCTTGTCCAAGCTGGTTAGAGTTCGTCTAAGCTAGTCATAGCTGGTCTCAGCTCGTCATAGTTATCCAAACTGGTCAAAGCTAGTCATAGCTGGTCTTAGCTGGTCATAACTTCTCTAATCTGGTCAGAGCTCATCTAAGTTAGTCATAACCGTGATACCATCTGTGTCAGGTAAATATCAAAACGGTAAATTTCTAAGCGTAGCTTAGATGTGGCACACGGCCGAAAGTATGGGGCACCTAGTGAGAATCCAACCAAATAATGGTAAGACCGTAGTTCGATGAAGACACCATTGCCACTAATATCTTACGATTATGTAGCAGGCATTTCTGTCGCACCATACACACACACACACACACACACACACACACACATATATATATATATATATATATATATATGGGACCCGGCAGAAATGTATATGCAATTTTTAAAAGAACATTTTTAATCCGACATATTTTATTAATTAACATAATTTTTAATGGATGCCCATATTTGAGTAGACGTTCCGTTTATTTATTAAACAGAATATTTATTCATTTTCGTCTATCGGTCAGAATATCCGAGAAATCCTATAAAAGAAAATATTCACAAGCATTCGAAACTAGTACGTGCTTTAGTCCTCTCGGCTACGAAGGGCTGCGATGATCAATCAAAGCTTAATAGAGCCTTTAAGCACAAATCATTCCTTGACTCTCCAAACATCTATATCTGCTCAGTTTCGTATCTTAACGTATCTTTGTGTTGATTTCTAACGCAAACAAAACAATTTCTAAAGAAAGGGATGGATTTTTTTTAGCTTTTAACCCAACAGATTTTTATTATTTAAACAATATTTTTTGTGGTTACTCGTATTTGAGTAGACGTACTGTTTATTTATCAAACAGTATATGTATTTATTTATTTTCACCTACCGGCCTGAATAGTCGGAAAACCTTATTAGACAAATATTTTCATTGAGATTATTATTATTATTGTTTTTTTTTATCTCTGGAACTTCTTTCGTCTTCTTACTGTGTCTACATATTGTCTTTGAGATGTCAACGAACACTCGTTGCCACTTTTGTGATATCAACGAATACCCATTGTCACTTTCATAATGTTCGTTGTAGTAGAGACTTTGTAATCGCAGATACAACTATAGTAACGCCGTTGAACAATACTTGTGTCCGACGCCTTTGAATATCACTCCCGAGACGAGACATAGCCTCGTCTAGGGGTCCTCTCAGCCCGGAGGTAGAGAGTTCGACCGGCACATTTCCGAAGTAATCCGGGTATTGAGATATTCACTAACCGCCCCACGCGGTCAGATGTGGTACAAGGCCGAGTTTATCGTGGTGTATCCGAGATCAAAAAATTCCCCGTACACCCCGTAAAAAAAAACAAAAAACAGGGACGTGTAGCTGTTTCCCGAGACGTGACTCTGCCTTTCGATATAGCCTCGTCTGGGTATCCTCTTTGCTCGGAGGCAGAGAATTTGACCAGCATAATTCCGAACGAAATCTAAGGGTGAGATGTTCACTAAGCGCCCCATGCGGTCGGATGTGGCACAAGGCCAAGTTTTTTGTGAGGTGTCCGAGCCTGTAGGCTCGGCCAAAAATTTCTCGTAGACCCCATAAAAACGGCGTCTGGTAGCAGTCTTCCACCCCAGACGAGACACTGTCCTTCGGCACAGTCTCATCTGGCTTCCTCTCTGCTCGGAGGTAAAGAGTTTGACAAGCACACTTCCGAAGTAATTCGGAGAGTGATGTGGCACAAGGCCGAGTTTATTGTGGGGTATCCGAGCCCGCAGGCTCGAGCAAAAATTCCCCGTAGACACCGTAAAAACGGGGTCGGGTAGCTGTCTACCACCCGAGACGAGACTCTGCCCTTTGGCATAGCCTCGTTTGGGTTCCTCTCTACCCAGAGGCAAAGAGTTTGACAAGCACACCTCCTAAGTAATTCGGAGAGTGGTCACTTAGACGCCACGATAATTCCCATATATACATTTCTTTTAACGTCACGTGATCTATTCATTCAAAATGGGATCGCCTGTGTTTGCTGTTTGGTAATCTGTGTTCATTGTGCTGTTATGTGACTTATTCAATGCCAAAAGAAATCGAGCCACCTGTTACCGAGTTCAACATGTTTCATGGTTTTTTTTTTTTACTGAAGTTTATTTTGGTCGAACAATTTTTTTGAGTTGACCGCGCATTTCAAGGCCAGTCGAGTGTCGGTTCAAGAGAATGAGTATTGACGAAAATCGCAATCAAAAAGCCTGAAAATGTAAGAAAATAATCCTTAAACAACGATTCGGAACAGTTCCCACATATGATTGGTCTTCATAAAGGTGGAAATTCTCTCGAAAGAACCTGAACATACAGAGCGATTCTACAAATTGTTACTCTTCGTGACCCCTGCATATCTTCCAATGTTTACCTATAGACTCAAGTATAAATACGACCTATAGACTCATGTATAAATACAACATTGTTTATGTAAAGACTCAAGTAGAAACTCGATCAATGTTTACTTATAGACTAGAGCAGCGTTTTTCAAACTATTTTTAATGCTACCTACAGACAGAATCACATTTTGCATTGCGACCCACGACACCAAATAATAATAAATGAAAGACAAAATCTAGGTTCATTTATTAAGTATTATATTTCTTACGATCCACACATTTTGGAATTACATGTATCTATTTGTATTATCTACTTATATGAATATAAAATTATTACTTTTAGAAAAACAAATTTAAATGAAATTCCGATATAAACGTAAAGTAAATAATCTGCAACGAGTTTGACGGACAAGATGCATGAACTCAATGAGAACAAACTATATATATATATATATATATATATATATATATATATATATAGTGAATATTGAAGTCAACACTTAGAGGCGACAGGCTATTTCATGCAGGACGCAATCGTCACGCCACGTGTCGTGGCCTGACGATTTGCGTCTAACATAATACAACCTGTCGCCTCCTGTTGACTTCAATGTTCACTTTTATATTTACACACGCTCTATCTCTCTGATATTGAGCACTTTATCCCATAAATATAATACACCTTATATTTCTTCATATATATATATATATATATATATATATATAATTATATTTTTGAAAGCTACATGTTTACCTCGGTGAAAAACTAACGGTGTTTCATGAGTGCTGTACAACATTTAGAGTTGTTTATATTCTGCACTTCCCTCTCACTTACGGACTTTATTTTCTTTCTTTTCATCTCGACCCATTTTATTTATCTCGCAACCCATTGAATGGTCCGGACCCACAGTTCGAAAAACCCTGTGCTTGTTAATTAAGACAAAATAGATTTCGATATTATCTAGTGGCAAGTTTTGTTCTAGGTGCGGGCCGAATACTGATCATATTCGGTCGGGTCGCCTATCGAAGAAGTCTGTTGTTTATTTAGACCTGAAACTTCTAGTGACATGGGAGCAACAACACTGACGACGCATCTAGATTCAGCACTTAAAGGTGTATTCTAATAATAACCCAGCAAGGGCTGATATTTCGTAAGATCCACCAAACCAACTTGATAAAAGCATCCATTCCTATAGCTGTAATTCACTTTGCTTATTCCAAAGAAACATGCTGCCGATTGTTATTCGGATAGAACATAACACACCTTCTGTAAATGAATACACAATGTTTTTTAATTATTGATTACTGCTTTCAATTCGTCTAATTGGGAACAGTACTTGTTCGAATATTTTCTGTGTAAAATAAATTTTCATTAATAGCTGTGGTAGAATGAGTTGTTTGGCATCCTTGCAATAGTTCTGATGAAATGTTCTCCTGAACTGGCTTCTGTTCTCTCCAAATTCTACAATAAATGACTTACTACTTTTGGAAATACTCTTCTGTGGTTCCTGTTTTTAAGAACTTGGCTGAACCGTCCGATCCTGATATATATATATATATATATATATATATATATATATATATATATATATATTATAAAATATATTTTTTTCGCTACACAGTTCTAACCATGTTTCAAAATGGAAGCTAAAAGCCCCGAATTTAATTTTGTAATTAAATTAAAGACATTAGTTCCATTTCAAATGGAACTAATGTCTTGAATTTAATGACAAAATTCTGTAATTAATTAAATTAAAGACATTATTCCATTTGAAATGGAACTAATGTCTTTAATGTAATTACAAAATTAAATTCGGTGCTTTTAGCTTCCATTTTAAAAACATGGTTAGAACTATGTAACTTAAAAAAACATATTTTAAATCAATTAATTTATAATATTAATGCTCTGTAAATTTACATTGAGCACTATTTTGTAAAAAAATAAAAATATCTATAAGAACACCGGATTATATATCTTACTGTTATTTATTTTATATATATATATATATATATATATATATATATATATATATATATATATATATATATTGTTTGGGATAAATTGTCGTCTAAATTACGCAAAAAATGAAAATAACACTGATATCTCATTTTAACAGTTATATTTGCCAAAATTAAATTAATATTACATTAAAATTACTGCAGAAAATCCACAACTCAGTGAACCATCTGATCTTTCTAGCTATCAGCCTATTAACCTTTTACCTCTTTTTGGTAAAGTAGTAGACTTTCTTCTTATCAACTCTGAATTGGTTAAACATCTCACCTCGCGGGGTCTTCTTCCAGATATGCAAAATGGCTTGCTAATATTAACACCTCTAAAGTGGAACTGCTCTCTTTTTCTGTCTCCATCTCTGAGACGAGGTATTATAATCATTTACACTATTTACATTATTCGGACCGTTGTTAACATCTTTGTTGTCATATCCCCAAGGATACATGGCCCAGTTGTTAAAGCGTCGACTGAAGTAATCTAGTGATTTGAGCCAAATATTTCTGAGTTCAGTACAGCAGCAGAGTTGAACGAAAATTTGGAGAGTTTAGCTACTAAAGAGAACTAACTGAAACTGTGATATCCGGATGAGGCATGGCACGTGGAAATAGAATAATCTATCTCGTTGGACGAAATAAAGTTTTCGGTTCGAAATGCCAACCAATTGAAGAAGGCCGAAAAGTTCTGTACATGATAACAAAGCTGAGGACAACAGATCAAATAGTGTAGATTGCTCTCTTTTTGCATTCCATTAATATGGCTGATGCTAACCTTCAAGAAAAATGACTCATTACATGATGAGTTTACTGTGTCATGCTAGACTTTTTTTTTATCGCCAAAATCTATCTTGCATATGTGCAAGTCTACCATTCCTCCATTCGAATAGTACTGCCACATCTCTTTTGGTGCTTCTGCTATGTATTTACAAATTCTTAATAAAAAACAAAGAATAATCGGCAATGTTATCGGTCCTGACCTGGCATCTCGGCTTCAGTCCCTATCCGACCGCCGTAATCTAGCTTCGCTGGACCTTTTCTAGAAATTTGTTCATGGTAGTTGTTCTGTGGGACTTTCCTCTATGGTATAAAGACTTTAAGAATTTAAGCACAGTACTAAATTGGCAGAGACAGAAAAACGTCGATAGAAACAAAGAAAAGAATATTGAACCTTAACGTGATATGTGGCCTTCTATATGGTAATGGATGCTGGACAATCTCTTCAAAGATGAGGAAGTGAACTGCGTCGAAAGAAATATGGTTCTATATGGCAATGGATGCTGGACAATCTTTTCAAAGATGAGCAAGTGAACTGCGTCGAAAGAAATATGGTTCTATATGGCAATGGATGCTGGACAATCTCTTCAAAGATGAGGAAGTGAATTGCGTCGAAAGAAATATGGTTCTATATGGCAATGGATGCTGGACAATCTCTTCAAAGATGAGCAAGTGAACTGCATCGAAAGAAATATGGTTCTATATGGCAATGGATGCTGGACAATCTTTTCAAAGATGAGGAAGTGAATTGCGTCGAAAGAAATATGGTTCTATATGGCAATGGATGCTGGACAATCTCTTCAAAGATGAGGAAGTGAATTGCGTCGAAAGAAATATGGTTCTATATGGCAATGGATGCTGGACAATCTCTTCAAAGATGAGCAAGTGAACTGCATCGAAAGAAATATTATGGCAATGGATGCTGGACAATTTTTTCAAAGATGAGGAAGTGAATTGCGTCGAAAGAAATGGTTCTATGGCAATGGATGCTGGACAATCTCTTCAAAGATGAGCAAGTGAATTACGTCGAAAGAAATATGGTTCTATATGGCAATGGATGCTGGACAATCTCTTCAAAGATGAGCAAGTGAACTGCATCGAAAGAAATATGGTTCTACAGAAAGATACTGAGGATACCATGAAACGAATATGTGAACAACAACGATGTTTGAGATGAAAATGGAAACAAAAAGATGCTTATATTTAATACCAGGAAGAGACACTGGAAATATCTAGGGCATATCATGAGGAAAGAGTGCTTCGAAAATCTGATACTCACAGGACAAATCGAGGACAAAGGAAATCAGGGCATAACATATTTTATGAACTTAAGTAAATAGATAGGAATAAGTTTTAGGAGAAATAACAAAAAGACAAAACTTATTAAGAGCTACAAAGAACAGGGATTTGTGGAGAGCCGTGATCACCTACCTCCTGAGGTCACATGATATATAAAGAATAATAATAAGAAGGTATCGATGGACTCGTTTGAATTCTCTTGCCCTTTAATACGCCTAACTTGCCATTCGACAGGGTTGCTAGGAACGATTTTTCTGCAGCTTTAAAAAAGATTCGGCAACCGGTTTATTTGTTGAACATTTAACCCCAAAAATATGAAGGAATGATTAAAGTTTTAAATTAGTGGTAGTTTTTCTTTGATATTTTTTTTTTTTTTTACATCAGACAGTTGAATGTCATCTATCTGGCTTGACTGTAAAAGTTACACTATTTACATTATTCGGACTATTGTCCTCATCTTTGTCGCCATATTTATTACAACGTTTCAGCCTTTCAGTATCTGTCTATATTTCTGAGATGAGGTATTATGTAAACTATTTACATTATTCAGACTATTGTCCTCATCATTGTCGCCATATTTATTACAATGTTTATTTTTTTTTAATTCATGGATATCTTTTGCAATTAATTTCGATTATTCCCAAATTATTCCCAAGTTATAAAAATTGTCTTCATACAAAAAAATTCACGTGAAAAACAATCGCAATAATGAAAACTTGGGAAACTAAAATTTCAAGATTGCGGTCCTGGACACAACCCAGAATGTTTTAAATTTGTTCAAAAGTCGACCTGATTCCAAAACTGTATCATATGTTGGGCTACGGCCTCTAGGAGTAAAATTGAAAAAGTGTGACACAGTGCCTCACAGCTATTCGCATTTATTATATAGAAGAAGATGAGCTACTAAAAATTAGAGTTGTATCCATTCAATTCTCATTTATTATATAGATGTATAATAAATAGTATCTATTTCACTTCTTCAAATCTGTTTCACTCTCTTCATATCTATCTATCTATCTATCTATCTATCTATCTATCTATCTATCTCTTTCATTCTGTTCATATCTATCTATCTATCCTTTTCAGTTTGTTCATTATCTATCTATCTATCTATCTCTTTCATTCTGTTCATACCTATCTATCTATCTATCTATCTATCTATCTATCTATCTATCTATCTATCTATCTATCTATCTATCTATCTATCTATCTATCTATCTATCAGAATACTACATAATCAAGCTATTTTCATATGAAAGTGGAGATAATTTAAGCCTGCAATATTTTTAGTTGATTTTTTAACATAATTTTTACTATTTATATCTCAACGTTTCAATCTATCAATTCTCCGGTCTTCCTCCAGTGACTTAAAGCATCCAGTACAAACATGTCCCAATACTATTTTTTTCAATAAATTCATTTATTTCAAGGAGGTCACGCCTAATCAAAATCGGCTGCTGTACTGACCAGAGGAATCACTTCAACGAGCTTATTGCCGAATTGTTTATCTTTAAAATTTTTGTTTAAGATGGTAAATAATTTTCATATATCGAAGAATTTGATGCGATTTGCAATGAATAAATAAATAAAAAAAATAACTCATCAACTTTTTTTTTTATGTGACGTTAACGATCTTCCAAAGAAGTTGGAAAAAGTTCGATTTTCTTCCCCACGAAACAACAACTAACCTGTCATGTTGTCAGGAAATCGAATTCTTTTGTCTGAGCTTTGGAACTGAGACGTTGTCATTATTCTCCAAATTATTCAGATTAGGATTTTTATCTTTTCTTCTTTCGACAACGCGTCGTCTGGATATGTAAAGTTTTCGCTTGACCAGTGCCCACGTTACCTTCATAAAAAAAAAAAAAATGGATATCGACAAAAAGAAAAGAAAAAATAATGAAGGAGAATAATAATAAAACCAATAAGGTAAGGATGCTCGTCTTTTCTAATAAAAAAATATCGACGTCTATCGATTCTTTATAGGAATCGATTCATCCAGCCTCGGTTTATACTGAGAAGTTCATTTACAACAGTAGAACTTGTCAGTGTGGCTTTGTTGAATCTCCCGGGACGAATAGCTGAAGAATGTATTTTCTACTTTTATCGGATTTCTTATCTTGGTTTAATACTAATCATTGGTATCGGTGGAAAAAGCACAAGATTCTGACCTGATCAATATATCCAAAAAATAAAGCTTCTATGTCAGCTTGGAACAAAATAAACAACCATTTTGAAACCACAGATGTAAAATGTAAACAAAGTAACATATATATATATATATATATATATATATATATATATATATATATATATATATATATATATATATATATATATATATATATATATATATATATATATATTCCTATTTGGGACTCATAATATATATATTTTAAGACATTTTTATATATATATATATATATATATATATATATATATATATATATATAAAAGTGAACATAGAAGTCAATACTTAGAGGCGACAGTCGTCAGACCACGAGTACTGCTATTTTTCTCGGTTATTTATATATACGGGTCAGTGGTGCATTGTGGGTAGTCTATTTTGGCGGTTATTTTACCGGAAGTCGTTTATTTGTTTATTTATTTATTTGGGTTAAATTATGTTGCTTGCTTTTATTTTTTTCTATTTTTTTTTTTTATTTCTTATCTTATATATTTTATTATTTTTTTTCATTTTAATCGGTGTTTTTATTAAATTTGCTTATATCACTTATAGTTTTGTTTTGGTTTGTGAAGATAATTAAAGCTATTTATTCAATTTGTTCAATTTTGGGGTTGATCATTGTAGTTTATTCTATTATTTTGGTGGGAACCGTTTTTAATTTTTTAATATTTTATTTATTTATTTGGATTGATTATTATTATTTGTTTTTTTCTAACGGTTAGCTTATCGGGATCGGTTTGTTTGTTTATTTATTTGGATGAATTTAGGTCAATTTATTTTACTTGTTATTATTTATTTGTTATACTGTATATTTTCTCTTTACGGTTTTCGATTTTTAAGTAACGTAGTATTTTTTCTTTTATCGTTATATTAACAGTTATAGCTATTTTTTTCATCTGATTTTTGGTTTGATTTTTATAGTCTAACTAATATTTTGGTCATAATAGTTTGCTAATTTGTTTATTATTTACTTTATTTGGGTTCATTGATTTTGTTTCTTATTTTTTATTCTATTTCGTCTTTTCTAACAGGTGTTATTTGGTAATTTGTTTGGGTTAATTTATTTTGCTTATTTTATTGTTATTTTGTTTGTTTGTTTATTTATTTTTATTTTATTTTTTTCCGTTTTCGATTTTTAAGTAACGTAGTAAAAATTTGTTTTCACGTCTGCATTTTAAGATGAGCTCTGATCTTTTATTTAATAATTTATTTTGGTCTGGGAAGGTAATGATAGCCATTTTTACCTCCAAGCTAAGTTTGCAAGTTTTTGATTGGGTGTTGTAGGCTGATGATTTTTCCTTATTTTCCAAGAATTTTTTGATGTGATGTGCGTTTTGTTTTTAATTTCCCAGAAATTTAGGAATCATTGTGCTGTTCGCATATTTACTATTTGTGAAAGATGTTTTTTGTGCATAATTTCTTTGTTTGCAGGATCCTTCATTTACTCCTATGTATACTTTTTCTTCATTATCTGGTGATTTTATCGTGGCTTGGTATATTACGTTGTTTTGTAAACAATTACCGTTTAAGGGACATTCGTTTTTTATTATGCAGTTGCACGCCGGTTTAATTTGTTCGTGTCGTTTGTTGATAATTTTCCTGTGGTGCTTTTTTATTATTTGTGCCATGTTCTCGGTGCAACTGTAATTGATTTTTATTATGTTTTTGTTGAATATTTTGTGTAGGGTGTTTGATTCCGGGAAATGTTTGTGTAATAGTTTGAAGAATATATTTCCTACGTTTGTTTTTACGTTTTTGCTGTACGGTGTGTTGAACCATATGCTATTTCTTTTCCTGTTGGCTTTTTTTTGTGTTCTGTGGTGAGTATGTGAGTGTTGCTGGGAATCCGCTATCTTTTAGGGATGTTTCGTAGTCTTGTTTGCTTTGGCTTTGTTAAATATGGATTCATTGGATGAATTGTCGGAAAGCCTGTGGTTAATAGGTTTTGGTGTCTGTTTGATTATAGAAGGCAGGTGGTTGAAAGATGTGTGTATATAGATTGGTTTATCATTGGATTTTTTGTATGGTTTAAAGGTAACATCTAGAAAATCTACTTCGTTTAGGTTAGGTTTTATATATGTCAAATCCGTTATTTTTAAAAATCTTTATTATTGCTTTTCTAGTTTTGACTGTGCTTTGTTTGTTACAGATTCTTAAGATTATCAGACCGTCGTTCATGTAGAGTCCTGTGTCATTTCTATCTATTATTTTGCTTAGTTCGTGTAGTAAGTAAATACCTATGATTTCGCATGTCCTAGCACCGTCAAAGCTTCCCATTATAATGTCAAATATCGCATCTTTCTTTATCCATGCTTCTTCATTGTGAAAATAGTAATGATTTACGAGAGTGCTTAATGATGTCGATTTCGTTTTGTTTTATTATTATTTGTTCCTGAGCTAAGTTGATGGCCTTATCTAACATGCGTTCTATTATGGATGGGTAAAATTCTTTTATGTCTAATTGTAGGAATTGGCAATTTTCTTTGTTATTTATGCTGTGGAACCAGTCAATAGTTTATTTTATGTTTTTCCACTGGTTTACTCCTAACTTCTTTCTAAGTTCAGAATTAATTCTTTCTAGTATCGTTTTACTTATTTTACCTAGATCGCTTTTGGCTGGGTTTATGAGTCTACATGCAGGATTGGTTTTGAAATTTTCTTTGTGGTCTTTTAGTGTGATAAAGGCTTGTGCCTTGCTAATACAACTTATTCGCTCATCTAGGTCTAATTTTTGGGTGATTGTTTTAGCTTCCTTATTGATATCGTGTTCTGTTGGTTTGGGTGCCTTTTTGTATGTTTTGGTTATGTTGTTCTTGAGTAATTTATCGTGCGTAGGAGGAGGGCTTAGTTTGTATAAATTTCTTGTTTTGTCAGCTGCGATAAATACATTTTTTGTATTGTTTATTTTAGTTATATCTTCTTTTAGTTATATATATATATGAAGGACAGAGAAAACATTGTTTTGTAGAATCATCATTGATTCCAATGCATTCTTTATGTGGATAACTGGGGCAGAAGATTTCTAAACGAAATGAAATTATTTTTTAAGTAATAATTTTCTACATGAATTCTCGAGAATGAAATGACATGTAAAAGCTTTGGAGTCGAAAAAACATATTATAAAGAACAATATATATATATATATATATATATATATATATATATATATATAGCCGACATATTTTTAATTTGCTTAAACGTTATTTTAGATGGATACTCACATGCGAGTAAATACTCGGTTTATTTAATTAAACATTATTTACATTTAATTTCATTTACCGGCCTGAATATTCAAGAAATCTTTCCTGGAAGTAGGGTAGAGAATAGAGCAGATATGGATGCTTCGAGAATCGGCAAAGAATGTGAGCTCAATAGCATTATTTCCGGCTTTGTTTAATCGGAAGATCTAATGATGGTTCCTCATGAGAGATGCCGGTTCGAATCCTGCCAGTGGACGCATATTTTCTGACAAGATTTCCCGAATATTCAGGCCGGTAAAAGTAATTAGATATTCCGTTTAATTAAATAAACAGAGCATGTACTCGAATATGAATATTCATCTAAAAAAATAAATTCTACACACACACACACACACACACACACACACACACACACACACATATATATATATATATATTGTCGGAGTTACCTCCTCCTTAATTCCCTAATTATTGACTAGCGGCCATTCTCCCTATACTATAAATACTGAACGACTTCTCGCCTCGTTCTCTTTTTCATTTCTTCATTTCAGCGACTAAAATGTAAATTCTCTGAGAAGATCCGCGTCTTCCCATTTGTGGTAGACGCCTTTAACATTAAACACATCAAAGAACAGTCACAAATGTCCACACACACACAAATATTATTGTCATACACGTGTTTCTAATACAACAACGTGCAAACCAAAACGGTGTTCTACAATATACATACATACATATATATATATATATATATATATATATATATATATATATATATGAAGAAATATAGTTTGAAGGGTGCTATATTTATGGTATAAAGTGTTCAATATCAGAGATAGAGCGTATGTAAATAAAAAAAAACATTGAAGT